AGGGCGTTTCTTATCTCCATTCCAAGGTTACTCTATTGTTCTATTAAGCTACAAGGAAGTAACTGAAGGAGATTATCCTAAGTAAAGATTATGTAGTTTAAGCGTGATTGCTCATAGTTAAAGTGATTAATTACCCGCCTGGCACTTCGTTAAGGGGTTTTATTTCCTCCCTAACTCCAGGGAAAAATCCCCACCTGGGGAAACAACCTTTCTCGGAGAGGTGACCTTGGTTAAAACACATAACGCTAAGAAGGGGAGCAAACATATTAAGAACAGCATGCCATTTATACCAGGTCCCTTGAAACATATGCTGCACAGATGTTTCTTCCCTGCAGTGACTGTGTCAAGCAGCAAGGATGGACCAGCTTCCGGCAAATAACATTCACAAGAATGCCCCTATATAGGGAGCTGTTTCTTTATAACCATTGTGGAAACCGAAAAATATATTATTATGAAAGCATAACTTTTTTTCCTGGATCTTTTCAAGTGACAATTTGCCATCATCCTTGTAAAGGAAAAAGAAAGCAACTACATATTTTGAATAAATACATTTATTAAACCCTTAAGAGCATGCCTATTTCCATTTAAGTTTGCGATGGTGTGCTCAGGTCGTGGGTGTGCACTGTGACAGGAAGTAAGACTTACAGCTTTCCAGTTCAAGGGAACAATTCTGCCTGTCCAGAGGAACCCTGCTGGAATCCATAAAGCACGTGGCTGAAACAGTCATCCTAGAAAAAGAAGAAGGAAAGGGAAACTGTAGATCATTGAACCATATGGCCAACATGCAACTCTGAATCTCCCTCACTGCTTGCTGTTTCCTGTGCATTTCAGGAATGATGCAGAATAGGCATTGCCATTTTCTATCCAAATGACGCTGCCGGAAACAAACCCAGGAAGGCGGATGATTTGCCTGAGACACGGAGTTCACAGGTGAATTCCTCCTCGACTAATTGCTGCTGATCTCACCATTTCCCGGTCAGCTCCCTCTGTGTGTTCTGGCTTCCAAGTCTTCAGAGAAACACACTTCAAAGTGAGAATACTTTCAAATAGATTTAAATATTGTCTGCCTTTTGGAAGACCCAAACTTAAATAGTTTCTAGTGATAAAGGCTGGGTGGTGGTAATCAAAACCTATGGGTGAAGGTTTTGCTCACAAACCAGGTTTACCTGAGGAAATTCTCTTTCCAGAAGAGAGGAAAAAGCCCAGAGCATTTTCAGTTATACATTTATGAGCACAATGAATAATTCAGGTGCTATTAATTCAAAAGGCTTGCATACTGATGAGGACTGTTTTTCCACATTTTATATTCTGCTAGATTTTCCTGGCATCAGGCAGAGGCTGCGGTGCTACGATCCTACCTCAAAGTAGAAACTTTGTACCCACAATATCAGATCAGAGGTGCATAAAAGGCCCCCGAGCGAGTCTGCAAAAAACAAAGCTAACAGCTGCTCCCACCACGGTGCCCTCCAGTTAATCCGAGAAGCGGAACTATTTTATCTCCAGTGTGTTGACTTCTACTTTCATTAGTCAGTTAGCAAAATGCCATGCCGGGCAGTGTCTGGGTGACTCCGTGTCACAAAACGTACTCGTTTTGCCATATCCCTAGTACTTTAAAGTGGGAAGGACCTCTGAGTCTTTGAGTCTACCTCCTTCATGGCACACAAGAATAAATTTACAACCGAGAAGGCTGGGTGGGTAGTAGTAAAGAAAGCATTATTCACAACATTTGTTAAAGAGCAGTGAGGAAGACTATGAGGGGGACTACAATAATGGGGCTTTTGAATAAGGGAGAGGATGGGGCACGGCTCCAATATAACAAAGGAAAGTGACCATTTATAGCCAAGGAGCAGGATGGGAGTCAGTGGATAGAAAATTACTCAGCGGGCCCGCTGGCTCCGTGGTTGAGTGTGGATCTATGAACCAGGGGGTCACAATTCCATTCCTGGTCTGAGCTGGGAGCTCAATCCCCAGTAGGGGTCGTGCTGGAGGCAGGCGATCAACAATTCTCTCTCATCATTGATGTTTCTCTCTCTCCCTCTCCCTTCCTCTCTGAAATCAATAAAAATATGTTTTTAAAAAAAAGAAAGACAAGAGAGCACATGCCTATCACTCGGCCTCGAACCCTCAGCAGGCGCCGCCCGCCGCTCCTCGCGCCCCACCCGCTCCGGGGAAGTTGCGTCATCATGTCTGGGGAAGTTGCGTCATCACGCTCACTCGCCCGCCCTTTCCCCATGCACTTATATATCTGGATTCTTAGAGCGGACTCAGAGCTCCACGGTGCTCTGCGCGCTTAGCACACGTGCGCCGGCTCTGCTCCCTCTTCCTCCCCTGACACTCGCCTCGGAGGAGTCAGGCAGTTCCAGATGGCCGCTGCCGCCGCCGCCGCCGCCGCCGAGGCTCCGCGTCTGCAGGAACAGTCGGAGATGGAAGATGGTGATAATTCTGGGAAGAGTGTACACGAAGAAAATGGAGAAGTATCAGAAGACCAATCTCAAAATAAGCACAGTCGTCACAAGAAAAAGAAGCATAAACACAGAAGTAAACATAAGAAACATAAACATTCCTTAGAAGAAGACAAGGATAAAAAACATAAACATAAGCATAAACATAAGAAACACAAAAGAAAAGAAGTTATAGATGCTTCTGACAAAGAAGGTTTGTCTCCAGCAAAAAGAACTAAACTTGATGATTTAGCGTTGCTGGAAGACTTGGAAAAACAGAGAGCCTTGATTAAAGCTGAACTTGATAATGAGTTAATGGAAGGAAAGGTCCAGTCAGGGATGGGGCTCATATTACAAGGTTATGAATCTGGCTCTGAAGAAGAGGGGGAAATTCATGAAAAGGCAAGAAATGGAAATAGGTCTAGTACTAGATCTTCCACTACCAAGGGGAAACTTGAACTTATGGACAATAAAAATAGTACAAAAAAGCGAAGTAAAAGCAGATCCAAAGAACGGACTAGACATAGGTCTGATAAAAAGAAAAGTAAGGGAGGTGTTGAAATAGTTAAAGAGAAGACAACTAGGAGCAAATCAAAGGAGAGGAAAAAGTCTAAAAGTCCATCCAAAAGAAGTAAGTCTCAAGATCAAGCAAGAAAATCAAAATCTCCTACCCTTAGAAGGCGATCTCAAGAGAAAATTGGGAAGGCCAGATCTCCTACTGATGACAAGGTTAAGATTGAAGATAAAAGTAAGTCAAAAGATAGAAAAAAATCCCCAGTTATAAATGAAAGAAGTCGTGATCGAGGCAAAAAATCCAGATCGCCAGTTGACTTAAGAGGTAAATCCAAAGACAGAAGGTCACGGTCCAAAGAGAGAAAGTCAAAACGGTCTGAAACTGATAAAGAAAAGAAGCCAATTAAATCTCCCTCTAAAGATGCTTCTTCTGGGAAAGAAAATAGGTCACCCAGTAGAAGACCTGGTCGTAGTCCTAAAAGAAGAAGTTTGTCTCCAAAACAACGTGATAAATCCAGAAGAAGTAGATCTCCACTTTTAAATGATAGAAGGTCTAAGCAGAGCAAGTCACCTTCTCGAACTCTGTCTCCCGGTAGAAGAGCTAAGAGCCGATCCTTGGAAAGAAAGCGAAGAGAACCAGAAAGGAGACGACTTTCTTCCCCAAGGTAACTTGTTTTCAAAATGTTAGTGCTTTTTACCAATGCACCAAATTTTAAAGGAGAAACTAGAACTTGTGACAATGAAAGATGAGATAGTAATGAGTTTTACAGTTTTAGGTATAATCCATTCCATTTACTGTATTTACATTTGTACTTTTGTCATTGTGTATCTTGGTTGTGGACAATTTAGAGGTAGAAGAAGAAGAAGATGAAGAGGCCCTAATAGAGCAGAGAAGAATACAAAGGCAAGCAATTGTTCAGAAATATAAATATCTTGCTGACGATAGCAATAGGTCTGTGCCATCTGAACCCAGCAGCCCCCAGAGTAGTACTCGTACACGGTCACCTTCTCCAGATGACATTTTGGAAAGGGTAGCTGCTGATGTTAAAGAGTATGAATGGGAAAATGTTGACACATTTGAGGCCTTGGTAAAAGCCAAGCATAATCTAATGACAGTTGAACCAAATAATGGGTCAGCTCAGAAAAAGCTGTTGGCACTTGATATGTTTACAGAATCTGATTATATGTTTGCTGCATATTTTGATAGTGCTCATCTTCGGGCTGCTGGCGTTGGAAAAGACTTTAAAGAGAATCCTAACCTCAGGGATAACTGGACTGATGCAGAAGGCTATTATCGTGTGAACATAGGTGAAGTGTTAGATGAGCGCTATAATGTGTATGGCTACACTGGTCAAGGTGTATTCAGTAATGTCGTACGAGCCAGAGATAATGCAAGAGCCAACCAAGAAGTGGCTGTAAAGATCATCAGAAACAATGAACTCATGCAGAAAACTGGTTTAAAAGAACTCGAATTCTTGAAAAAACTTAATGATGCTGATCCTGATGACAAATTTCATTGTTTGCGGCTCTTCAGACACTTTTATCACAAACAGCATCTCTGTCTCGTATTTGAGCCGCTCAGCATGAATTTACGAGAGGTGTTAAAAAAATATGGTAAGGATGTTGGTCTTCATATTACAGCTGTAAGGTCCTATAGTCAGCAGTTGTTCTTGGCATTGAAACTCCTTAAAAGATGCAATATCCTACATGCTGATATCAAGCCAGACAATATCCTGGTTAATGAATCAAAAACTATTTTAAAGCTCTGTGATTTTGGGTCGGCTTCACATGTTGCGGATAATGACATAACTCCTTATCTTGTCAGTCGATTTTATCGTGCTCCTGAAATCATTATAGGTAAAAGCTATGACTATGGCATAGATATGTGGTCTGTAGGTTGTACCTTATATGAACTCTATACTGGAAACATTTTATTTACTGGCAAAACCAACAACCATATGTTGAAGCTCGCCATGGATCTCAAAGGAAAGATGCCAAATAAGATGATTCGGAAAGGTGTATTCAAAGACCAACATTTTGATCAAAACCTCAATTTCATGTACATAGAAGTTGATAAAGTAACAGAGAGGGTAAGTCTCTTTTTAGTTTGCAAGATTAAATGATAATCTTATTGTTAACAAAAGACCTGGGTCATACTAGGAGCTATGAATATTTTGAAACATTAAAATAATTTCTTTTTGGTGTTGGCTGATTCCTGAATAAAATGCATCAAGTTGTGAAAAAGATGAAGAAATTTAAAAATGTTTGTATAGTATGAGTTTATTTTTATTATAGGTCATATTTAGGACCTTCTCATCTCTTCTTTCGGATCACTCTTGGCCTGGCCCACCATCTATCTACCTTCCATATTGCTGTCATAGTGATCTTTTTTGAAAACAAATCTGATCATGTTACTCTCCTTGCTTAAAAACCCTTCATTGGCTTTCTGTTACCTAGACGATAATATATTTAAATTTCTCAGAATGACAAACTAAGTCTTCTATGATATGAACAGTGTGCCCTCTCTTCACTGAACTCTGTAAACCCTATCATTCCATACTTGGCAATTAGCTAAAGGGCATGACCTTTAAGACCTCTCTCTGTTCACAGACCATCCTCATCTTATTGGTTTACTGTATTTCCTCATCCCCTAAAAAGAATATGTATTCAATTTATTCTATTTCAAGCCTCATATGAAATATACATTCTGTGTGAGCCTTTCCAAAACCTCCAGGTTGAAGTAAGGACTTCTTTATTTTGGCCCTGTTATATTATACTAGAGGCCTGGTGCACGAATTTGTGCACCGGTGGGGTCCTTTGGCCTGGCCTGTGGGATCAGGCCGAAACTGGCTCTCCAACATCCCCCGAGGGGTCCTGGATTGCAAGAATTCGCAGGCCAGGCTGAGGGACCCCACCGGTGCATGATTGGGGCCGGGGAGGGTCCCCTGGGTGGGGGTGGGGGGGGCTCCAGGGCATGCCCGGCCCATCTTGCTCAGTCCTGATTGGCCAGACCCAAGCAGCAACTACTGGTCAGAGCGTCTTCCTCCTGGTGGTCAATGCACGTCATAGTGCAGTGATGGCGAACCTTTTGAGCTCAGCGTGTCAGCATTTTGAAAAACCCTAACTTAACTCTAGTGCCGTGTCACATATAGAAATTTTTTGATATTTGCAACCATAGTAAAACAAAGACTTATATTTTTGATATTTATTTTATATATTTAAATGCCATTTAACAAAGAAAAATCAACCAAAAAAAATGAGTTCGCGTGTCACCTCTGACCCAAGACTGCACAAAAATATAGTGCTAATGTATATGGTTGCAGTTCACATAAAACACAAAAGCATCTTGTTATGAAATAAGTAGTAATGTTGGGTGGTTGGTTTATTTTTAGCAGACTTGGCTTCGTTTTGGTCTTTGGGTAAAATGGCCAGAATAAATGCTGTTTATATTTACATTTTTCTAGGTGTGTGTGTGTAGGCCACAGCAGCATGCCCTTGGTGTAGTCATTGCCGAAAGGGGTCTGTTCCTTCTTGAGCCTGCCTGCAGGGATGGTCTCCTCTTTTAAAGCAGGTTGTGTACAACATTCAGTACACTGAAGGTAAGCTAAACCATCAACATCACTGGTGTTTTAAGATGTTATTTTATTGGAACAATTGACAAATGAGGGATATTAGCTTTGTGGCAGAATTCCCTGCATGTGTGATACCTGATCTTGTTTTATTTTTTGGCATTGCAACTGTGGCATAGTTACAATTTCTGTTCTGGTCATCACATTTAAAATTGGAAGAGTATGCGCTTGATGAATAGAGTGCCTTCAGTGTACTGTTTCTTATTAACTTTAATTTTTAAAAATCAACTTGCTATAGACTTTATATACATTTTGTTAATTGCAGTTCCTAGTGAGATAGAAACAATGCATAGTTTTCATTTACTAAATTACAAATGTTGAGGCATAATTCTGAAAGTCCTCATATTTAAGTTACATAGACAACCTAATGAAATTTTTAACTATTTGTATGTCATTTTGAAAGTGTACTGCTTTATGGTAAAAGTGCTTTTCATTTGTTCATTGTTTTCATTATTTGTGATCATGTTGTCTTTCAATACAGGCATAAACCTTCCACTCTTGAACAAAGCAGCTGCTTTTTAAAAGCGGTAATTGCTTCTTTACCTTTATTTCTTTTGTAAATGAAGCTTTTCTTTAAGAATGTGACTTTAAAGTGTTGTCTATTGCATAAAACAGTTGACACTCACTTATTGTAAAGTGAAGATTGTTCTACTGCATGTGAAGTGGCCATGCAGATTTCTGTATGTTCTCAGTATGCATCACTAGATAATAAAGTCTTTTGTGAACAAGGAAAAAAAAAAAAGACAAATAGCTTCAAGTAAATAAAATCCAAAAGATAATCTTTAAAAAAAGAAAGAAAAAAAAGAAGAAAGAAAGAAAAGAAAGAAAGAAAGAAAGAAAGAAAGAAAGAAAGAAAGAAAGAAAGAAAGAAAGAAAGGAGGAAAGAAGGAAGAAAAGAGAAAATTACTCAGAAGAGACCTCAGGGGTCAGGGGAGATCGTGGCTAAATGGATCTAACAGGATTGTTGCTGAAGGCAGGCCTGGGTGACCAGACATCACCTTGGGCGAGGATGAGGACCCTGATTGGATACGCAGGGTGATCAGATACTGAGGATGGGGGATTCTGGCTAAATTGACTTGTCAGACACAAACACAAAAAGCTCAAAAGGCAGGGTCTGGGGGAGGAGAGAGATCAGAGGAGCCTGAGTAGAGTTTGGTCAAGAATAGAGTTTTGTCAATAGATGGAACCAGGTGACCTGGCTCTGGGCTTGGACTGGCTCTGCTGGTGGCTGGAATAGCTGTGCAGACAATAATGTTGAGTTCTCCTGTGTTCTGGGACTCCCCAAGATCACTCTCGTGTTCAGTGATTAGCTAAAAGGAGTCACAAGAACTCCTCAAAGCTGTTATCTCAACAGTTACGTTTACTGTAGTGAAAGGATACAGATTAACATCAACAATGGAAGAGGGGCCTGGGGCAGGGTCTAGGAGAGACCAGGAGGAGTTTTCACTTGTCCTGTTCTAGTGGAGTTATGTGGACAGTGCTGCATTCTCCCAGCAGTGGTGGGCGACAGCACCCATGGAGTATTGCCAACCAGGGACGGTCCCAAACCTTAGGGTCGAAAGAATCCCGTGAGGGCTGGGCACATCGTATGGGTATGGCGGACCAGTCTCCTGCTCCTCCAGAGGTACCATCACATGTGGTCAAGGCCCCCCCTCCCCCGCCCCATCTTAAATGATATAGACAATCTGCTGTAGCCCAAGGCCTCGATAAACAAAGACACTCTAATCAGACAGGATGTTCCAAGGGCTTAGAGGTTACCTCCCAGGTGCAGAGCCAGGGCCCAGTCTTTTTTTTTTTTTTTTTTTATATATTTCTCTTTTATTTT